GAGAGAATAATCATGGGAGAAAGAAGGCTGTTTATGCACAGGGAGACAGTTCAGGGGGCAGGAGTGCATGGAGGGATGGACATAGGGAAGAGGTGACTGTCGGGAGGAAGTGGGAGGGGAGCTGTTACATTGGGGTAAATTGTAGTCAATGTCATGAGACAACATGTCTGTGAACTGCTGTATGGAAAGTGAATTTGCTCTGTAAACTTTCACCCAAATCACAGTTAAAAAATAATTAATTAATTTAAAAAGACCTAGAGAGCACAGGGTCATGTGCATGGAGGGCAAGGGTGCCCTCCCATTATATCCCTCCTACTTTTGTAGACTCCTTAGTAGTCCCCAGTCCATGCAATGCCTCCTTCCCATTCTGAACAGTTTGAGAGGAGTGAAACTAAGCACATACTCTTCAAGAAAAGAATTTCCTTTAGTGTCTACTTACCATGTTTCAGGGCCTCTGCTGCACAATGGTTTATCCAACAAGCCTGCAAAGGAGATAGTAACCGGGTAGGTCAACCACCTGAGGTCATTGAGCAGGGCAGATTTGAACTGTGGAGTGCTTGATTCCAAACCCATAGTATTATCACAACATCATCCTGCCCTAACAAGTCTTCCAGATGAGTTCTCCTCTTCCTCCACCTCCCTCAACATGCTGCTCTTCTTCACAGACCAGGAACTAGAGCCATATAACTGGTGTTGCCGCTGGAATGACAAACCCCACTTTTGCATCCTGTACCAGCAAAGGGAGCCCCGTGTCAGCTGTGCTGGATACAGACCCCCAAGACCAGGTGAAGTAGAACATCTGGGGAGGGGTACCCTTTTGGCCTCTGGGACGTGGAAGCTGGACCAGAGAAGGACCAGCTTTCGCACCAGAGCTATAGCCACAGGAAAGATGGAGATGTTTCCAGTGTGGTGCTCATGGCAAATGGACAAGCTGTGTACATGGGGTTGGGGAAAGGGTAAAAATAGGTGATAGGGGAATAATGAATAGATATGAATGGAGTAAGGGGCCCAAAAGTGCAAGAAAACTTTTAGGAGGGTTCCACACTCAATGAACATCTCCTCAGGCTTGAGTCTAACAGCAAATGCCCTCCCTAGAAAGTGATGGGGACAGAAATCTCAGCCCTGAAAAAGCTGGACAATGAGAAGGGAAGACAGAAGAAAATTTCATGCATTCAAACTGTGGTGTTGGTGAAGAATATTGAATATACCACAGACTGCCAAAAGAACAAGCAAATTAGTCTTAGAAGAAATACAACCAGATTGTTCCTTAGCAAAGATGACAAGACTTTGCCTCACTTACTTTGGACATGTCATCAGGAAAGACTAGTTTCTAGAAAAGGACGTCATGATTGGTAGAGGGTCAGTGAAAACAAGATTCCCTCAATGAGATGGATTGACATAAAAGCCACAACAATGGATTCATACACCAACAGTCATGAAGGTCGTGCAGGACTAGGTTGAAGTTTTGTTCCATTGTAATAAGGTTGTCATGAGTTGGAGCCAACTCAACGACAACTAACAACAAACCAGAACAAGAACAACTACCCTTGGTTTTCTTTTTTTTTTTTTTTTTTCTCCAGCCTGGATGTTTGGAGATCCTCATATCATCACCTTGGATGGTGCCAATTACACCTTCAATGGGCTGGGGGACTTCCTGCTGGTCCGGGCCTGGGATGGAAACTCCTCCTTCCTGTTGCAGGGCCGCACTGCCCAGACTGGCACAGCCCAGGCCACCAACTTCATTGCCTTTGCTGCTCAGTACAAATCCAGCAGCTTGGAGCCTATCACCGTGAGTGAAGGGGAGCTCAGGGCATCCCTGCATCCCCCAAAGAGAGCCCATCAGTGACCTTCAGCTAGAAACCAAGGTCCACGAGGAAAGAGAGAACAGGAAGAGGAAAGGGAGAAAAAGAAAGGAAAGGAGATGAGAGAGAGGGAGGGAGAACACACCCTACTAGTGCAGTAGCTTTAAGAGCAAGCTCTCAGGAAGGCAGGATTAGAGTCTTGGCCCCATTTCTTAGCTGTGTGACTTTGAAGAAATTACTTCTCAGTGCCTCAGATGATAACATTGCCCACTTCTCAGGCTGTCGTGAAATTTAAACAAAATAATCAGAGAAATATGCCTTGTACAGAGTCTGGCCCATGCTAAACATTCAATAGATATTAGCTATCAGAACATCATTGTCACACTTTGTCACCTTCATCCCAGACTCAGTTTCCAGCCCTGAGTTGCTCTCAGGTGCCTCATTTCTGAACCTCTGGATCCACATATGGGTCAGACTTAGACCTTCTCTAATTCCCTTCAAGGTTCAATGGCTCCTTGAGAAAAATGACAAAATCCAAGTTCAGCTCAATAACAAGACTGTGGCATTTGAAGACAACCATAAAGATGCAAAAGGTAGGCTGGGGACTCCCATCAACCTGCTTCCCTTGGTTGGGGGCTCAGTGGGGTGTCCAGTGTCCTGGGAGCAGTGTGTGTTTGGGTGAGGAGGGTCAGAGGAGAGGAGTCACCACTCTGTCTCTTCAGCAACTGTAACCCAGGAATAGAGCATTAAATGTTCCCTCCTCACTACTGTCCTTTCTTCCAGTCCTGAGACCTCTTTTTTGCTAGTCCATCTTCAGACCCTAGGAAGAAGGAAGTGGTGTAGCCTTGGGGGTGTCCTGTGTGTTTGATTTAGGTCCATTAGAGACAGTGTCCCCAGGACATCCCAGAGCTGTTTTTAGAGTCTCCTCCCTGCATTGTGACCCTCCAGGACTGCCAAGTCTTAGAGCTTCAGGGCTACTGGCTGGTTTCTTCTCCTTCTTTTTCTTCTTCTTTTCCTTTTTTGTGACAGCTTTATTGGGATATAGTCCACCTATCATACAATTCACTTAAAATAACAATTCAATGGTTTCTTCATCTGTTTCCCAATGTTCTAGGCCAGGAGATATTTAACACCACTGGACTCATACTGACCCGCAACGGTTCTATGGTCTCAGCCAACTTTGATGGGACAGTGACCATCTCAGTGATAGCTCTCTCCAACATTCTCCATGCCTCCTCTAGCCTTCCAGAGGAGTATCAAAACCACACAGAGGGCCTCCTGGGTAAGAAGCAGGTCAGACTGCCTCTGAGGCAGTGGCCACAACAGGAGCTCAGACCCCCAAGTAAAAACCAGCTTCTTCTGTTGGCCTACAGACACCCTAAACTGCTTCCATTTCTCAGTCTCTTTGGAGCTATACCCTCAAGACACAGGGCTGGCCAGGAGGGAGGAGAGGTATAACCTGTTGGATACTCCCAAGGAGGAGAAGAGCCACAATCCCAGGGTGACTGACCTCCTACTCTGTCCCTCAGGGGTCTGGAATGACAATCCAAATGATGACTTCAAGATGCCCAATGACTCCACTATTCCCCAAGACAGCTCTGAGGAGATGATTTTTCACTATGCAATGACCTGTAAGTCTGAGCCCTAAGTCCTCAGGGCAGATGGGGCAGGGGCAGGATGAGGGAAGGGAGAGATGTTTCCCTCAGACATATGAGAACTGCACCTCTGTCCTTTGTAAGAGTGGGATGGAAAGTCCAGGAGGAGACTCTAAGTCTGATGCCACATCAGATTTACCCCCATCCCACCTGCATCGGTCTACTTGGGAGATAGGTTGGGGAAAATGGGTGACCCATCACTCACAGAATAAGAATCTCTGGACCAGAAGCTGAGAACCATTCTATCTCCTCTACACCACCCTCCCTTTGCTCCAACTTATATAAAGTGAGGATAAGTGGTAGACAGAGCAAAAATACAACTGGAGCCCCATCCCTAGTGCCATCACCATCATACCTTATATGTTATAGGGAAAATCAATGGAACAAGTCTCTTTGGCAAGAGGAATGACCAGCTGCCTTCCAACTTCACCCCTGTCTTCTTTAACCAACTGAGAAACACCTCCTTGGATCAAAATTTGACTTCCAAGTGTAATAAAGATGTACAATGCATCTTTGATGCTCTGGCCACGCGGGACATAAACACTGGACTGCACACCAGGATGATTTTTGGAAGTTTCCAGGCAATCAATGCCACCCTCAGTAAGTGGCATCAGACCCAGATAAGCATTTCCAGAATTGGAGAGCAGATCAGGAGGTGCATTTCCATGACACCCTTTTTTCATTCATTTAACAGATTCTATTGCTGTTACTACTCCTCTGCTCAAAACCCACCAATGAATCACCAGCTCACTCAGTCCTTATGATGACTTTTAAGACATATTCAAACTCATACCCATTGCTCTTCTCCTGTTCCTCCTTGCTGCCTTTACTTCATTCCAGCTCCATTGGCTTCTTTGCTGGTCTTCAGATATGCCAAGTTCACTCTCAACAATAAGCTTTTTCACTTGCTGTTCTCTTTGCCAAAGACTCACTTCCTCACCTCCTTCAAGTCTTTATTCAAATGTCACCTTCTCTGCAAGGCCTTTCTTGGCTACCCTATCTAAAATGTCATACTCATCCACACTTTCTATTCCCTGCTTTATTCTTCCTCCTTAGCATTTATAACTATATAACATTTTATAATTTTGTATGGATATTTTAAGTTCTTTCTCTCCTCACCATATACAAACAAGACTGCAAGTTTCACAAGGGCAGAGGTTTTTGTCTGTTTTGTTCATTGATATATCCTCACTACCTAGAACAGTGCCAGCCACATAGTAGGTGCTCAATAAATATTTGTTAAATAATGAATGAATGAATGAACAATGGAATGGAAACAGCAGGGCTCCACAAAACAGAGATCAGTGAAAAGCTTTTTACTTACTCTATTTCCTAACAAATGCAATGCTCATCTAGACACTACCCTCATGGTTTTCAGCCCTCTTCCAAAGGCAAGACTATGATAGCCTGAACAACACTGCTCTCTTGAAATGTTTGAAGAGGAGGTAGAAAAAGAGAAGCTAAAGATTTGGCAGGCTTCCTCCAACCCCAAGCTGCCCTGTATTGGTATGAGAGCAGGTACACAAAATAATCCTCCCAGAGGTGGGTCACAGTCCTGGGAATGCCTTACACAAACTAGACAGCTGGAGAAAGAGAAAGATAGTAAGGAAAAGAGTGCCCTGCCTCAGACCCTGTGTTCTCTTTTTGTGTTTCAGATCAGTATCCACCCTCTATTAAAGGTGATCATGAGATTAAAGCCTACAAGGGGCAGACCAAGCAGTTTCAATACACCAGCAACTCTGAGAGTGTCACATTCTCTCTCAGAAACAACTCTACTGACTTCACACTCTTTGGTAAGAATGTTTTGTTGAGGAGGTAGGGAATGAGCTCGGAATCAAGCTTTGGGTAATTTTGCATCTATAAACCCTGTGTGTGGGAGCTCTGGTGGCTCAGTGGTTAAATGATAGGCTGCTAAACAGAAGACAGAGGTTCAAATCCACCAGTCACTCTGCAGGAGTAATATGTGGCAGTCTGTTTCCATAAAGATTTATGGCCTTGGAAACCCCATGGGGCAGTTCTAGTCTGTCCTACAACCTCACTATGAGTTGAAATTGACTCAACAGCAGGGTTTTTGTTTGTTTTGTTTTTTAATATCCTGTGCAATTACTGTCATTTAAATTTGATGGGAGCTCTGGTGGCATAGTGCCTAAGGCATTTGACTGCTAACCAGAGGGCTGGAGGTTCAAACCCACCAGCCACTCCTCAGAAGGAAGGTTGGGCAATTAATTTACTTCCATGGAGATACCACCTCAGAAACCCCAAGGAAGCCAAACTTGCTCAAGGAAACACTTGATGAGATTTAGGGTGGGTGTGAGAGGAGTGGGGAAAAGTCCAACATCAACAATCAGGACACTAAATACCCTAAAACCAGCTCCAGGATGGTCAGACAGCAGAGCAGAGAGGTCTCACAGCTCTCAATGTCTTTCCTGGGACAGAGAATGGAACATTGCTGTGGATACCAAAGTCACTGGAACCATTCACTCTGGAGATTCTAGCAAGAAATATCAAGAATGGCTTGTCATCTGAACTCCAGCCCAATATTGTGGCCTGCTTTTGCAGTGCAGAGAGCCAGTGTTTATACAACCAGACCAGCCGGGCTGGCAATTCTTCCCTCAAGGTGAGTGTTGGGGAAGTTTCAGAGCAGAAAAAAAAAAAAAAAAAAAACAGATTAATATCAATGTATTGTCCTAGATCTCTCAAAATATCCACTTTCAAAAGTACAAATCTGAATGCAAGAGAGTTCCATTTTAGGAGAAAAATGGAAATTGAAGGGATGTTGTAATTTAGCCTCTCCTGGGTAATGTACATGTTGGATGTGGGGCAGAGCTGTGGGAGGTGAGTAGAACAGATACCAATCTTAGGCCACAAGCTCACATATGTAACAAATAAAACTTTCTTTTATTGCTTATTGTTGTTGTTGTTGGCTCATCCTTATTTTTTATCTCCAAGCTCCCATTCTGTCAAGTTGGCAGGAAACTTCTACCTCAGCCATTCTTAGAGTTCTTAGTGATTCCCAGTTCCACAGTTCTGGATTCCAAACCAATTCATGGTATTGGGGCACAGGCAGGAAAGCATCCATGTGAAACATCCATTAGAAGCATCACATTGCCATTTCTCTTTGGGCCCTGATCATCATGGTGTCAGGAAAAGAGGTACAGGTCACTGTGATCTTGGGAACCCAAAACTCCTTTTTTCTTTCCTCTCTTCCTCCATCTCTTTCCCAGTTGGAAGAAATTTTTCTCTGCTCAAGTTTTGAGACAAGACACTTGGCCTAACTCCATGAATCTTGTCCCACTTACTTTTTATATTTATAAAGGGAAATCTAAGAAGGAAAGCATTTGGCACGTACACACACACACAAACACACACACTTTTCCTGAAGCCTAAGCTGAGAATTGCTACTTGGAAGTGGTAGAGGTGTTTCTTGGATTGAAAACCAACAACAGTAAACAGCAAATGACCATTAACACACATGATGACATAGTCTAGAAACCAACCCAGTTATGGAAGTATCTAAAATAAAATAAGCTTACAAGACTATAAACAGAGAACTAGAGACATGAATTGGTAAATGAGGACAACTACAAACCAAAAAGAAGGCAAAAATAATGTGGTTACAGAGCTGGTAAATGGTGAGGAAGTCAAGACAATTGTGAGATAAAACAGACTATTCTAAACTTGGGAAGAAAATTATAAATTACAAGGTAACTTCAAAGAAAAATGATAAACCTTCACATCAAAATAAAAAGAGCACAAACACAAATATTTAGCAAATCTTAAACCAATAGCAATAAAGGAAATGGTAACACAATTCATAAAAAAAAATGAGCTCTGCACAGAAAATTATATGGAACAAAGAAATAAGCAACACCATGAAAAAAATACATAACAAAATAACAGCAATAAATTCATACTTGTCAATAATTACACTGAATGTAAATGGATTAAATGTGCCACTCAAGAGACAGAGAGTTGCAGACTGGATAAGAGAACATAACCCATCAATATGCTGTCTACAAGAGACATACTTTAGAGAGAAAGACACAAATAGACTAAAAACCAAAGGTTGGAAAAAGATATATCAAGCAATTGGCAACCAAAAATAAGCAGGAGTGGCAATATTAATTTCTGATAAAATTGACTTTTAGACAAAAGCTAAGAAACAAGGGAGGACATTATATAGTGATTAAAGGATCAATTGAACAAGAGGACATAACCATAATAAATATCTATGCACCCAGCAAAAGAGCCCCAAAATACATAAATCAGACTTTAATAGACTTGAAAAGACAAATAGATGACTCCACAATAATAGCAGGAGACTTTAATACACCACTTTCAATCAAAGATAGAACAACTGGAAAGAAACTCAAAAAGCCACGGAATAGCCAAACAGTACAATCCAACAACTTGACCTTATAGACATCTACAGAGCACTTCACCCAACAGTAGCAACATATACATACTCTTCCAGTGTACATGGAACATTCTCCAGGATAGGCCACAAAGCAAGCATCGATAAATTTAAAAACAATGAAATACTGCAAAGCATCTTCTCAGATCACAATGCTATAAAATTAGAAATCAACAATAAGGAGACCAACAGAAAAAGATGGAAACTAAATAACACCCTCCTTGAAAATGACGGGGTAATAGAAGAAATAAAAAATGAAATTAAAAAATTCCTTGAATCAAACAAGAGTGAAAACACAACATACCAAAATCTTTGGGACTCAGCAAAAGCAGTGATCAGAGGCCAATTTATAGAAATAAATGCACACATCAAAAAAGAAGAAAGAGCCAAAATCAACACTTTAAACCAACATCTTCAACAATTAGAAAAAGAGCAGCAAAAAAGCCTACAGTTACCAGAAGAAAGGAAATAACACAGATTTGAGCAGAAACAGAAAATAGAAAGACAATAGAAAAAATCAACAAGATTAGAAGGTTTTTTTTTAAAAAAAAGATTAATAAAATTGACAAACCACTGGCAAATTTAACAAAGGAAAGGAGGGAGAGAATACAAATGACATGAACAAAAAACTAATTGGGCAACATCACAACAGAATCACCTGAAATAGAAAAGATCATATCAGGATACTATGAAGAACTATACTCCAACAAGTATAAAAATCTAGAAGAAATGGATAGATTTCTAGAAACATGCTACTTACCTAAACTAACACAGACTGAGGTGGCAAAGTTCAACTGACCCATAACAAAAGAAGAAATTGAACAGGTCATAAAAAAATTACCAACAAAAAAGTCCTGGCCCAGGTGGTTTCACTGGAGAATTCTACAAAACATTCAGAGAAGAACTGACACCAATCCTACTCAAATGATTCCAAAACATTGAAAAGGATGGAATCCTCCCAAATTCATTTTATGAAGCAAGCATAATCTTGATACCAAAACCAGGCAAAGACATCACTAAAAAGGAAAACTACAGACCAATATCCCTCATGAATGAAAATACAAAAATCTTCAACAAAATACTAGCCAACAGACCCCAACAACACACCAAAAATAATACATTATGACCAAGTGGCATTCATACCAAGTATGCAAGTATGATTCAACATTAGAAAAACAATCAGTGTAATTCATCACATAAGTAAAATAAAGAAAAAGAACCACATGATCATATCAATAGATGCAGAAAAGACATTTGGTAAAATCCAACACCCATTCCTGATCAAAACTCTCAGCAAAATACGAATACAAGGGACATTCCTCAACATAATAAAGGGCATATGTAGGCGATTTGGTGATGTGGTACCTAAGCATTTGACTGCTAACCAGAAGGCTGGTGGTTCAAACCCACCACCACTCCTCAGAAGGAAGGTTGGGCAATCTGCTTCCGCCTCAGAAACCCAAGAAGGGATTGCTATCAGTCGAATCAACTCGACTGCAGTGAGTTTGGTTTGGTTTGGATGCAAAAGCAACAGCCAACGTTATTCTCAACGGAGAAAGACTGAAACCAGACAAGGATGCCCTCTATCACCACTTCAATTCAACATTGTATTGGAAGTCCTAGCCAGGGTAATAAGGCAAGAAAGGGAAATCAAGCATCTAAATTGGTAAGGAAGTAGTAAGACTATCCATATTTGCTGATGATATGATCCTATGCATAGAAAACACAAGAAGCTCAGCAAGAAAACTACTGGAACTAATTGAGAGATTCAGCATAGTGGCAGGATACAAGATCAACATTCAAAAATCAATTGGATTCCTCTACACCAGCAACAAGATTGCTGGAAAGGAAATAAGGAAATCAATACCATTTACAATAAACCCAAAAGCAAATTCAGTGCCATCGACTGGGATGGCATTTCTGACTCACAGCGAGCCCCATTTGGTTTCTGAGGCTGTAAATCTTTATGGAAGTAGATTGCTCCACCTTCCTTCCATGGAGCAGCTGGTGGGTTTGAACCACGACCTACTGGTTAGCAATCAAGTCCCTTATCCACTCTGCCACCAGAGCTCCTTAGCTACTAAAAAAATAAAATACTTGGGAATAAATCTTACCAGGGACGCAAAAGACCTGTACAAAGAAAACTACAAAACAATACTTCAAGAAACTGTAAGAGATCTGCATAAATGAAAGAACATACCATGCTAATGGATAGAAGATTGAACATTGTGAAAATGTCAATACTACCCAAAGCAATCTATACATTCAATGCAATCCCAATCCAGATCCCATCA